ATTATTATTATTATTATTATTATTATTATTATTATTATTATTATTATGGGTGCTAGGGGTGCTAGGGGTGCTTAGTAGGCTTAGTAGGGGCTTGTGTAGGCCTGGTTAAAAAGGCGGTGAGGGTGGCTGATACTGTATTTACATGATGTGGAGTTTTTGCGCGATTGTCAATTTAGTCCTCCGTAGCACTCTCCGCTTCTCTCCAGACGGAACTTTCCAAATCACCGTCCTCTCCGATCTACACTTCGCAGAGTACGAAGACTCCGCCCAGGGCGCGACGCAGGACGCCAGAACCGCTGGGGTGGTCCAAAAGGTCCTGCAGCATGAGACGTCCACGCAGCTGGTCGTGCTCAATGGAGATTTGATCTCCGGTTATGGTACTACCTCCGACAATGCAACGCGGTATCTGGACCAGGTGTTCGCGCCGATCCATGCGCTCGACTTGCCATGGGCCGTCACGTACGGGAACCACGATAACGAGCGCTTTTCGAAATCCAGGGCACTGTTCGACTATGAGAGCAGCACATATCCGGATCAGAGTCTCACGAGGGATATGGGGCCGCAGGGGTCCGAGGCAGGTGTTTCCAACTACTACCTGGAGGTGTTTGCGGAGACTGAGGATGTTCCTGCGTTGCTTCTGTGGTTCTTTGATAGTCGCGGGGGAGATCAACCTCATGACTGGGTGGATGATTCGGTGCGCCATCATCCTTGTTCTAGTGACCGAACTGAATGCTAACTGTCAAGGTCGTTGAATGGTTCGTCAGCACAAACGCCAATCTCGTCCAGCAGTACAAGAGAGCTGTCCCCTCGCTTGCATTCTTCCACATCCCCATCACCGCGGCGTACGATTTTCAGGTGAAGCCCGGTGTGAACCCAAGCAGACAGCCAGGCAAGAATGGAGAGAAGGTCTGGTGGCAAGGTCGCGGATACGATGGCAAGACAGGCCATGACTTGAAGTTCATGACGGCGCTGTCAAACACAGACGGCATGCTGGCTACCTTTAGCGGCCATGATCATGATAACGACTGGTATCTCAATTCACCACCCCACTCAATTAGTCGCAGACTGTTGACTCAACCTTGTTAGGTGCTTCAAGTGGAAGAGATCCCCATCCACCAGCGCCGGCCTCAATGTGTGCTATGGCCGCCATACCGGCTACGGCAGCTACGGCAGCCTAGCCCGAGGCGCGAGGCAGATTCTGCTCAAGAAGGATACTCTGGCAGAAGAGGTGGTGACATGGATTCGACTGGAGGACGGGCTTGTCCCAGAGAACGTCACGTTGAATGCGACATATGGGCAGGATGAATACCACCCTCATCACCGGGGTTTCCCACAGCGGACTGACCTGAGGAGGGGATTGAGCGCAGTCGAGAATATTGGCGTTGGCCTGGATGTGTCTACTCTGTACCTGGTCGGTCTTGTTCTGTTTTGGTGGATACGCGGTCGTTGAGAGGTGGTTAATACAGGCTACCTAGGTAGGACTACCTATAGCACCATAGGTATGATCTTGCGATGGGAATTACAATGTCTGATTGTCTGGTTTACCACTTGTAGAGCATTTTCATCAGTTCTAGTGAAACTGTCAGCTTGAATTGCTTTTTCGACCTGAGATGGATGAACCCTGGCCATCACTATCACATCACATCACTCGTCCAGTTGGTACTACCCTAGTAGCCCATGAACTGTTTGTGGGTTGCATAAGTTACGCAAGGCTATCCTAGGTAGGAACTGCAGCTACGGAATCGCCGGACTGGATCCGTATCAATCCGCAGGCTCATGGACAGGGTTCAGTGTTCAGACAAAGATAGGAAGAAAGGAATAGTCTGAAGGCATTTAAGTCTAAGCAGAAGACACCGTGGCTGTAGGACTAGCTTCTCACATGCATGCCGCAAACCCTACCTGTCCACCATACCTGTCCGGTCCTCTCACATCGCCATGTCCATCGATATCGACAATAGAAAAGTCCTTATTATCGGAGCAGGTCAGTATTGTATTCGGTTTATTCCACCAGCTTAACCGACCATCACAACTGCAGGCTCGACTGGTCTGGCGTTGGCTCAGGGTCTGAAAATGGTAAGCCCTAACCGGCCCCGGCCTCCAGTGTCAGGGCAAGAAGTCACAAAGACAGAAAGGGATCCCATTCACCGTCTATGACCGAGACGCCAGCCCCGAAGCCCGCGAGCGCAACTGGTCCTTCGGCCTGCACTGGGGCATCGAGCCCCTGCGTGGCCTGGTGCCAGCGCACATCTACGCCCAGCTCGAGGCAGCACAAGTCGATCCGCACATCGACCTCGACGACCCCGTCACCAACCGCATGCCTTTGCACAACGGCGCAACGGGCGACCTCATCATGGACATCCAGTTCGCCAAGATCTACCGTCTGCGCCGCGACAAGTTCCGCGCTATGCTCCTCACCGACCTCGCCGATGCCGAAGTGCAATGGGGCAAAGAACTAGCCAACATCACCTACTCCCCCGACGGCGCAATAGTAACCGCGACCTTCACGGACGGCACCTCAGACACAGGCGCCATCCTCATCGGCGCAGACGGCGCGCACTCCAAAACCCGCACTCTGCTCCTCGGCTCAGAAAAAGCCAAAGTCACCCCGATCGGCTTCGCCTCAACCATGTGCTTCACAAGACACACCCGCGAGCGCGCCCTCTTCCTCCGCGCCCCGCCGCACCACCCGCTCTACCAGGCCGGCCCACACCCAGACGGCTACAGCGCCTGGCTGGGCCTGCAGAACGGCGAGGACAAGGACCATCCGGAGAACTGGGTGTTCTTCCAGTTCATCTCGTACCCCGAGCCGCGGGACGAGATCAACACGCGCACGGACGAAGAGCTCGTGCGCCATGTTAAGGACCTCGCGAGGGGCTTCGCGGACCCCTGGCGCAGCGCGTTCGAGTGGATGTCCGACGGTACGCCGGTCTGGTATTCTAAGCTGCGCAACTGGGATCCCAGTCTGCCGGGGCATCGGTGGGAGAATCAGCGGGGACGGGTCACGCTTGCTGGGGACGCGGCGCATCCGATGACGTTTCAGCGGGGGCAGGGCGTTAACCATGCTGTTTTGGATGCGGGGCGGGTTTGTGAGGCGCTTGGGGCTGTTTGGGGTGGGTTGACGGTTGAGGGGAGGGAGGGGGCTGTGAAGGGGTTTGAGGAGGAGATGGTGCGCAGGTCGGGCGAGGAGGTTCGGGCGAGTGAGGCGAATAGTGTCTTGCTCCATGACTGGAGTAGATTGGTGGGAGTGCGTGAGTAAGGAGGGCTAGTGCCGGTGTAGGATGTTATTGTCAGTACATTAACATAGTCTGGGGCACGGATACTTCAAGTCCGATATCTAGGGTAGCAAATCAAACACCCACCCTACTGCCATCGGAATCTCGCAGCTTCTTTGTCTAGGCCACAGCAGCCTATCATGGTAGTAGTACTATAGGCACCTAAGCGCCGCCAAGTTCACTAGGGCTGACATGGGGTCTTCTGCAACCTGGCGGGGTGGACATCATGATCCATATCCAAACATCTGCTCGGCCAACCCTTCAAGCGAGTCTAAGATGACAAGCCTATTAGACCTCCCGCCAGAGATTATCCAAGGCATCTTCACCCTCGCCGACCAGCCCTCGAGAAAACAACTCCGTCTCACCAGCGCCTTCCTCGGAGCGATCGGCCAGCCGTACGTCTTTCAAACCATCAGAATCAAACCCGGGAAAGAAAGCCAGGAGAAATTCAAAAACATCCTCAGCCGTCCGCACCTCTCCAGCTCAGTGGCCAAAGTCTGGTTGGACGCCATCGTGTCGGATGATGGGAGCGTCGAGGCCACAGAGTATTTTGACTCCTGGCAGCGCGATGTTGTCGCGAAGCTCCACGACCTCCCGCGGCTTCAAAGCGTCGTGCTGCATTTTGAGGATTCTATCGAAGAAGAGGTTTTGGAGACGGAGATAGCCTGGCTGGACTGGACTTCGAGGCATACGATGCATACCTGCAGTTATCTTTTCGAGAAGGTTATGCCGACGCTTGCCTCTTTGCCTGGACTCACGGAGTTGGGAATCAAGGAGCTACAGAATATCGCCATTACTGATCCCAGCGTTACTGAAGATCTTCGCCAGGTGCTAGGGAGGTTGCGGTCGTTGAGGCTCAACGTTGCGCATGAGCATACGCGGCATTATGATGATGATATCGATGTATAAATTCCCATCCTTCTGTGACTCCCAGGCTTCTGATGCAGAACTGATCTACACAGCTAGAGCAAGTCCACGTCTTCTTTACCACCCTCCCATTATGCTGGCTGAAGCCGACGACCGCGAACCTTGAACACTTGACCCTCTACTCAACTCTATACTTCGGCTTCTACCCCAAATGCGACGTAACCAGCATCCACTTCCCACGCCTTAAATCTCTAGCACTCGGCAACTACACCTTCGCCCACGACAATCAACTATCCTGGATCCTCTCGCATGGCTCAACCCTCAAGGAAATCTACCTAGACGACTGCCCAATCCTGCACGAAGTCGCCGTCTACAGCATAAACAGCAATCTCTTCCGGATCCAGCGCACTCCCCTCCCACTTGAACTGTACAAGCCACACCCGTATCTCGACGAGAAATTACACGCAGCCTACACTTCCCGCTGGGCCGACTACTTCGACGCATTCAACACCGGGCTTCCACACCTGCGTCACTTCCGCATTGGGCACGGCCCGAACTGGTGGGCCGACTGGACGCCGCCGTTCGAGCAGGAAACGAGCATTGAGATCGGGTTCACTGACGCCTACTTGGTATTCTGCGATGGGTTGGAGCAGCCGTATCAGGATCGGATGGCGTATACTGCGGATATGGAGGATGGGCCTCCGATGGGGAGGGTGACTGGGGAGGTTGTGAGACCTAGTGAGGAGGATTGGAGGGCGTTGAGAGAGTTGTTGGGGAAGCTTGGGCAGGGGATGCCTGCTACTTAGTCCTGGAGAGCTTCTTAGGGGTAAAGATAGGTGGTTTGATTGCATGTTCGAGGTCGAGCAGGGCTGTGCCCTAGGGAGCCTGAACGTATTCTTCACTAAGATGAGATGCACTTGCTCAGATGTCGACTAGCTAAAGGTAATAGGGTAGATTGATAGATGAATAGTGACTACCTACATTCAAGACCGCCAACTTCCGCTCTTCTCTGCCTTGCTCTTGATAAACGGCGCCTTTCCCAAAGCCTCCGCCTGGACTCCCCAGACCGTCCTCCCCATCTCGATCAACCTCTCTCCAAACGTGTCCAGAATCTCTTCGATCGTCGGCGCCCCTTCTTCAGCCATCTCCGCAAACCTCTCATCAGTCAACTTCATGTCCAATACTAAACTCTTCCACTTTCTCCGCCACCTTTCCAGTAAAGCTACGGCCTCTTCGCTGTCGACCTTGAGCCCAGATGCAATCATATAAAACGACGACCGCTTCGCATGAAACTTTGCGTGCTTGTACACCGTCACAGTAGAGAACCTGCTGAACTCGTACAGCATCTGCACCATGGCCGGGGCTTCGATCTTATGCGACAGCACGATCATCGTTCCGCCGGGCTTGAGGTGTGACAGCGACAAAATCAACTGCGTTAGGGTTAGCCGCGTCGCTTCGCGTTTCTCGCGGTAGGACGCCCGGGCGTGCGTGCGGAGGACTTGGCCGTCGCAGAACGCAAGATCAAACTTCTTCTGGTTGAAGTGCGCCGGGAGGAATCCGTGGACGTCCGGGTGGTCGACTGGGATTTCTGCGCTGGAGACTCCGATGTCCGCTGCTAGCATTGTGATGTCGCAGAGATGGGCCGTGACGTTGGGGTATGCGGCTAGATCGAGCGCGACGTTGTGCCCTCCTTCCTCTGGCGGGAGACTGAATGCGAGGGCTTGCGCGGTCGGGTTGAGCGCCAGGGCTGTTGCGAGGAAGCCGCCGGGCGCCATGCACATGTCGAGGATCGCTGGTTGTTGGGTTGGGGATGAGGGCTCGATGCTGAAGACCCCCGTTTGCCGGTTCATGTCTTTGCCTATGTCCAGCATCATGGTGTAGAAGTGTCTGGCGGTCTTGTCGTCCGCGTTGTCGGCGGTCTGGCGCTGTTTCGCGAAGAAGGCGTCGCCGGCCGGATTCTCCCAGCCCTAATTTATTCACCGGGGTTAGCGGCCTGGGACTACCTAGGTAGGTAATAGAGGGATCTGGGCGGGCACTGACCTTCTTGCGGAGCTCGCAGAGGCGCTGGAACTCCGGCACCTGCGCTTCTCGGAGGTAGTCCTGTATGGCGCTTTCCAGACGGCCGATGTAGTCGCTTCGTTTTGGGCGTGATGGTTCTTCAGCGTTTTCGGGACTGCTGGGCTTTTGTGTGCGGTCGTTGCAGCTGTCTTCTGGGAGCTTCTGGGCTTGCATCGTTGGAGTGGATTTAGGGATATTGGCTAGATATGAGAAGAGGCTATGGTGGAATTGCTCAAGTTGGAATGGCTCTGGTCTATGGAGGTAATATAGAAGTAGATATGGATGATGATGAGGACATGAGGATATCTGGGGAAGATGTAGGCAGGGGAGAAGGTGGTCTGAAGACACAAACGAAATCATGGCAAACATGGCGTCTTTCTGTTCAACGGAAGAAAAGCCGAAAGGATACCTTCAGGCTGGTTTGCCTCTTTCTGACTGACTCCATCCTGTGCACTCCATCCGGATGGCCAGTTTGCTGGCACAGCACCAGCACTGCGAGCTGCGCCTACCTAACATAGAACGTGGCGGCCAAGAAGATTCTCGAATGGCTCTGGCACTGTCCTTTCCCGTCGATGTCTTCCGAGTCCCCAGTGATGGTTGTCGTGGACGAAGGGGGGTCCTTCCTATTCCAGCCATTTTCGCTCCTATAAACATGTCGTTTTTTCCCATCTTCCTCCGTTTTCTTTCTTCTCCTCTTCACACCTTTTGGCTGTTTCGATTGCTAGTACTGTGCCTTGCCCACTTTACGTCTATATCGTCCCCCAACTGGTGTTCTGCTTCCTGGCTCTGCCACCCCTGCCCGTGCCCCGTTTGTTCTTCTTGACTTTGCAATGTCCCAACTGCGCAGGTTCAAGAACGTTGTCGTTCAGAAGGTTCCGAGTCCTGTCTTTACCGCGCCTCAACGCGGCTACCCCGGTTCCTCTGCCCCCTCGTTCCCCCAGCTGTCTCGTCCTCGCCGTGACAGCGTCCCTTCGCTTCGCTCCTCCAGGGCATCCCCTCTTTCCCAGGTGACCCATGTCGCCTCCAACCCTCGTTCCTTTGTTTCGCGGATTCCGGTCCGCTCCCAGGCACCCACTGGTGTTCGCTCTCTTCGCCAGACCCTCACTGCCTCGACCAAGGCTCGCATTCTTTCGTGGATGGACTCCATCCCCAACTATCGCTTTCGTTCTCGGCTGCCTACGCCAAACACCGTTCGCTCTCTCCCGGACACGGTCGGCAAGAACCTCCTCACTTCGTCGAAGCGAGATTACATTCTTTCCTGGTTGACCGCCGTGCCCCAATGTCGCCTTCCAACTACCACCACACCCTCTTTCAAGGACGACGCTCCCACTCCCCGACACTCCTTCAAGGACGACAGCCTGTTCCTCGAGATTGCTCAGGAGCAGCGTTCTCGACCTCGCGTCCAGCGCCAGGCGCCACCACCGACTCCCCAGCGACCAACTCCTGTTCCCTCGCTTGACAGCCCCGACGTCTTCCTTGCGTTGGCTTCGGCCAGACAGACTGGACGCCGTGGACCTTGGACTACTGAAAGGTCTACCACGACAAGCCGTTCAGCCTCGACGGCCAGCAAGCCTACCTCGGCCATGGCCAAGGGAACCCGCAAGCGCAAGCCGGCCAAACACGTTCGTTTCGGAGAAGTGACCGTTGTCGACGCAAACCACCCTCGTTGGATCAATCCCCAGCTCGACGTCTTCCGCCGCTGATCTCCATCCACTCGTTTCTCTTTTCTTTTCTTTGCACTTTGACCCTTCCCTTTGGGAAAGACTACATCTTCTCATTCGGTTCCAGCTGTCACTGGCTTTGCGAGGAGTCATACAGTCTGCGCTAATGGTTTATAGATCGAGCTGGCGCTTCGTCCTGCTGAGTCCTGGTGGCGGCTTTTGATCCACCGACAGGTAAGCTCACTGTCCCTTCATCATATGGTTTCTGCTAACACTATCGCACGCAGAGGACATCCGGAAGATGGTTTTCTGGGTTGTAATCACGTAGCCTCGCACGCGGGGGTTAAATCGTAGTCCATTACTCGGAGGCGCCAGCAGCCCGCCGACCGACGCCGTCTCTTTTTTGTTGCTTGATTGACTGCCACCGGGCTTGTTGGAGAGACTGGAAGGCGATGGGGTAAGTTGTCCTCATCTTCTATCCCAGCAATGCTAACACTGCCAGGTGGTTGGCGGGAACATCGCTCTACACCTTGCTTGACTGCTGCTTGGCTTGTTGGATGGCTTGGAGAATGATGGAGGTAAGTCTCATTGATCCATCCCAACTCGAGTGAAGCTGATGTCTCGACAGGGCGTTGGCGGGATGGATGGGATGTTGGATGGAGTGGATGGGTGTTGGGTTGGTGGATTAGTTTGGCATGTCATATATCTAGTTGTCTTGCTCCAGAACATCTACAGCACCAGGGAGCCTAACCTCGAGCCGCCTTAACATCAACGAGGAATACATTTATTGTCTTGCTGTCTCGCTTTGCCTTTTTTTCATTTGACGTAGACTTTCTTGCTTCGTAGGACGTAACATCGGTCACTTCGAAGATAGAACATACCGCATGCTATAGACCTTGAGGTACATTAGCGATGACCCTACCCTTCCCGACCTATTCTATTCTAACTACGGCAGCAAACGACATCTGGTACATCCTTGAGACTCGGCAGTTATTACTCTCGCGGGCGGCTGTGATGGCCTGCCCAGGAATGGCTGCAGCTCAGCCTCGTATTGCGCTTGCTGGAGGACCCTCACAGGCCAGCTGCCTTCAGCCTCCCCTAACAGTCAAGCAATCATATCAGCAGGATCCTAACCTTGAAGGTGCGCGCTAACACATGCTTTTGGATGAAATCAGTCTTAAGCATCCGCCGGCCGTCCAACTGAAATTTGAAAGACTGCCACTGCCCCGCCATGGTATTCAACTCCAGGACCACGGCACAGGAGAGCGAGTTTGAGCTTCTGCCACAGCCTGAACCGCTCCAGAGCGACGCTGGCGCAGGAGTTCCGCTCTTTAGGCTGTCCAGCCTTGTCCGAGATGGATGGCCAATCCACATCCGAAAGCTGAGGAGCAAGGCGCGAGAGGACAAATTGTCCACAGCACTCAGCCTTGTCATTGCGGGCTTCCCTGGCGCTTTTCTAGGTGATGTTCTACTGTTACTGTGGCTTTCGTTGTGCCCTTTGTTGATCTGTTGCAGTCCTCGCTGTTCTCGTAATTCGTCTTAATGGGAAGGAGCTCTCCAACTACGGCGACAAGATCATCCAAGCAACGCGCCTCGGTCCCACCGTCTTTCCTATCGTCTTTGCTGCGATCGTCGGTAGTCTGATGCGGAGCTGGGCATTGTGGAAGGCCCAGAATGGTGCTGCCTTGGGGGTAAGTCTCGTATAGCCCTCCAGCTCCCCGGGTGTCTTGTCCCCGAGGCCTAAGCTAACCCGACCGATATTCGATAGCTCCTCGAACAGATGAACGGCAGTACGAGCTTCGCCTGCACCATCGAGTTGGCGATCGCCCTGCGCCCGCACAGCCTGCTCGTCATCCCCATCCTCCTCCTCTGGGCCATGTCTCCCCTCGGCGGCCAAGGTGCGCTCAGAATGATCTCGGAGGCATCGGCCAGTGTGCTAGGCAACGTCTCGGTCGCGTACATGAACACTAGTATCGACGATGGGAGCCATCCGCTGGTGAGCAGTTCCCTGACGAACGACGCCCTTGCTCCGCTCAGCGCCATATACACAACGTCGATCCTGTCGTCCCAGGAGGCAAAGACCGCGCCGAGCGATGTTTGGGGATGGCCGAAGATCCCTTTCTTGCCTGCTTCCTCCATTGACAATGATTCTTGGAGGGTTCCGTCCAACGATACGCAAACGAGTTATACCTCGCTCGTCGGACATGTCCTGCAGGGCGTTCCACCTGATAACTCTACCGACTTTCCGATCGAGTCGTCGTACTTTGACTTCGACTGCCGGCTCATGGCCACCAATCTCTCCAATACCGAAGCATACACTGCCATGGGAGGCGCGTCGCTGCTCCACCACAACGCCAGCAATCTCTTCAACGACACCGTCGACGGCCGCGTCGCCTACAGCAACTTCTTCATCGACACGAACTACAACGTCAAAGTCCGTCCTCGGCCGCAGTCGAGCTTCAGCATATTCTACGGGTCCAGGGATAAGGCTGGAGCGGACAGTGATGGGCCTCCGACCGTGACGCTCTTCAACTGCACCATGCTGTATATTCGTCTCGAGGCCCGGGTTGCTTGCGAGAACGCCTCTTGCGCTGTGACTCGCTTGCGTCGGTCTGAGAATGCGACAAAGTTGACACCGTTCAATGATGCGGATGACCCGGAGATGAACACCAACACCACTTTGAACAATCTGTTTCGCAGGTTCCCGCATGCCGTGCCCATGGTCGATCAGTGCCAGCCCTCGCCTACCGATAGCTACATCTACGGTGAGTCCTCGTTCTTCGACGCATTCTACTTGCATGACTGGAGTACCGTTCGCCCGGACGAGATGTCAAGAAGGTTTGCCACCACGTTCAATACATTCTGGCTGGCCTCTCTGGCGCCGCTCACCATTCCTGTCACTTCCCTATTGGACAAGGTCAACCTGACAGCCACTTCCTACCACCCACTGGCCGGTCCGGAGTTCGTCATGGCGCAGGGCACAACGTCCAGGAATATCGCCGTCTATCAGGTCCATCTCCCCTGGCTGGTCGTCTTCATCACCGCGACGGCCCTCCTGCAGCTCTCCGCGCTCGCCGGGCTACTCCTCCGGTCAGTCACCATTGCCCCTGATATCCTTGGGTACGTCTCCTCCCTAACGAGAGACAATCCGCATGTCCCTCTCCCCGTCGGAGGCAGTACGCTTTCCGGCGAGGACCGTGCGAGATTGTTGCGGGATGTACGTGTTCAGCTGGCGGACGTCGAAGTCAACAGAACGTTTGGGCGCGTTGCACTGGTTGCTCGAGTTGCAGGGACGTCCAGAGCCGGGACTGCGTATAAGAGGCTGAGGAGGAGGAGAGGCTATGAGTAGTCTCTCGGAGTAGTGATGATATACGGCCAATCTACCTATTATGTATAGAGAATGTGGGCAACTTTGAGAGTAAAATTGAGAGCATATAGTTTTCCGGACTCAATGCGTTATTGCTGAGCTACTAAGTCTACCATCCATGCCTATTCTACCCCCAGGTAGGGTACCGAGCCCTAATACCGAAGCAGTTGCGACCGGGAAGATTTCACGGCGAGTTCCTAATATCCCCGCTTGATCTTCGTTGTTCTTGTCAACGAGATCCATACTGAGGTGGATGATCGAGGGCCCTGAAGATGCAGCCCTAGAGGCGCCAGCACTTGACTGGGCGAGCGTTGGCGCATCAAAAGCCACACCCTGCATTAAAGGCAGAGAGCTTGCAGCCTTTAGCTAGTCAGGAACTAGATTGATAATCTACCTAGTAAGTTGATTTCCTGGACCTGCCTGTCCTCAATATACCGGTCTGTATATTGCATTATGTCTTCTCCGGCTGAGTTCAAATATATAGCTTCTAGCGGCGAGAAGGACATCGCGTTTTGCGGACTAGGGCTACCTCCGCTTTTCAACTTGCCAAAGACAATCAACATAAAGGCCACACACACACAGTGTGCCGTTAGGCTTTGCGCCAGCGCCACGCTATTCAGTGGACTTCGCTGAACAAAGGATTGGGATGATTGTGCACGATGGCCTGAAGCCCGTGATGAGACGCCATGCTGCATCGTTTGGGTGGAATATCCATGGACCCTACTGTAAGCTGTCCCCCTTCACCTGGCGATCCTAAATGGTGTGCTAGGCTGCTAGCAAAACGTATGGTGGTCTGAGTCTGACAGGCCGGGGCTTACTCCTCAAAGGGAGGCACGGGGTCAAAAACCACTCTACCTAGCGGTCTAGCCTTGATTGGCCCATCCACCCCGTGGAGATGGCATTGCACCGGAGTCGGGGTAATCCGAGACTTCTCCAACAGAGCCAGCAGTCCGTGTCTGGTGATCGTCCGAGGCTCAACCGAAGAGAGCAGGTTGCCCGGGCTGCGCTGGAGCCCGGGGGCCGGCCGGCATGCCGAGTCCGAACTTCGCCGAGTTTCTTGGGGGCTTCGTTGAGGTACACTGTTTTGGTTTTGAAAGGCGCGATGATCACCTGGACAGCTCAATCTGCGATGGTCGGCAATTCCCCTGGGCAACTCTCTCGTACATACGGGTCCGAGCAAGCTCTTGGGTTGTGCCCCAGCTCTGCTACAACAGATCTAACGAAGTTGGGATCACCGTGAAGAGGGCTCTTCATGGATCCTCTGAGGAGCTTTCACAGTCTTTCCGAACTTCAACGCTTGGATCGTCCGGGGACTCCACCCATTCCCCGTGCTATCCCCAGGCAGACCGCCGCGGCTCCATAGCGAAAACCGCTGATCCTTACTCTACCCATTGACCGGGCTACACCGTTTAGTACTCCGTATGGAGATACGGAGTACGGAGTAGTAGTCTGGGGCAGGCGTGGCCGCGCGGTTTTGGCTCTGCGACTATATGGAGTAATGAGTATCTAGGACGTGCAGGGATGGAGATGGTTTGCGATATTTATTCGGTGCCAAGTGCGCTGCGTTATTTTCTCACATTACTGTCCGATCGCTATAGCTTCCCTTGAAGAATATCTTCTTTCCAGTTTCCAGGGCTGTTTCTGCTTACTGTCAGAGAATGATGGAGCGAGTTTAACGCAGCTAGGTCTGGCCACGAGAGGCGCGTCCAACAGCTGCCAGCGTTCACTCTGCAATCTGCAAGTGCATACAGGAAGCTAAGAGCCACCGTTTGCACCTCCTATGCATCCCGATCGGAGGATGGATCAGTTATCCCCCGAGCTTGAAAGGGCAACCGAACGAGAGATCGTCTGGGTCCACCTGCACCATCCCACGCCCTCCACTTGCAGCTTAGTAAAGCGTCACGAGTGCAAGCAAAGTCTGTTTGCTGAGACATTGCTGACGCTGGCATACTACACAGACGCATGATCCCACGGTGTTGTTGTCTGACTCTCCTAAAGTGTCGCCATGTCGTCTCGTAGCATGGCCTGATCAACAGGGGTGGCCAGGAACAAGTAACAGGATGCTCCGGTGCGACCATTCAACGGCGAGAATTGCCTGGTTGCCTGGACTCGCCATCGTCATCGCCCCATGGCCTGTGGTCCCGCGTTCCAAGGTCACAGCGGTGGAGACATTGTCCGATCACCTTCCCTGAGCGGTTCCTCACCGATGTTTTACCGGTCGGACCGGTTGCCTCGACCAATGATCGCGAGTTATCGGGACCCTGCTCGGCCGACTTGGCCTCGGCCCAGTGACCTCATGCCGGGGTTCGTCCAATCAATCTTCTCCGCGAGCCCGGGGCTTTTCGGCATGCCGAGCCCGAGCGCCATCGCACTTCCAGGTTCGAAATCGAATCGGAAGGCAAATCCACTGTGACATAGTGCGGCCTCACTTTGCTGTCGTCACACGCTCAGAGACCTCGCGATTCTTGCCACTGTCAGATTTTTTTTTCCCAGCGGCGATCCGGTTGCTGCGCGTAGCTACGTAGTTCTCATAACAGATTGCTGATCTATAAATTAGCCCCCCAGCACCCCATGAATGCCCCCAATCGCTCCATCCCACCCCCATACACAGAAACACCCCCGCAAATATGTCGAAACCATCGGAATCGGCCCTGAAGGACATAAACCAGGGTTCAGAAACCAGCCAAAATGAAAAGACACATTCATGGATTGTCGGGGGCAAGTACCGCGAGGAGGCAGAGAACCTAGCGACGCATACCTCTGGCCGCGGTCCCCCCGAGGAAGTCGACTTTGACTTCCCCCCGACAGCATGCGAGCCTGGCCGCATCGAAAAGACGAACGAGGATGTCCTCGTCCTCACCTTCCTCGACGCCGACCCCGAGAACCCCTTCAACTGGCCCCTGGCCAAGAAGGCCTTCATCTCGCTCCTCCTCTGCCTCATGACCCTCTTCGTCGGTCTGGCCACAACAGCCTACAGCTCCGGCATCAACAGCATGACCTCTGATCTCGGCGTCTCAACCGAACTCGGCCAGCTCGGCCTCTTCACATTCAACTTCGTCTGCGCCTTGGCTCCTCTCTTCCTCGCCCCCTTCTGTGAGCTGGTCGGCCGCCGCGTCATCTACGTCGGCGCCTTCATCTGCTTCAGCATCATGTTCATCGGCCTCGCCCTAGGCAAGAACATCGCAACCATCATCGTCTGCCGCGGCCTCCTCGGTCTCTTCGGTTCCGTCGGCACCATCCTCGTCGGCGGCACCTTCTCCGACATGTACACCCCCGAGAACCGCGCCATCCCCATGGCGACCTTCTCCTACGTCGCCATCCTCGGCACCGTCGGCGCCCCCATCTACGCCGGCTTCATCGACGAGACAATCGGCTGGCGCTGGATCGAAGGTATCCAAGGCCTCGCCAACATCCCACTCATCCTAGTCGTCGCCCTCTGCCTCCAAGAAACCCGCGGCGGCGCCATCATGCAGAAACGCGCCAAGCTCCTCCGCGAACAAACCGGCGACAACCGCTACAAATCCCTCTCGGAGCTCGAGGCCCCAACCCTCAAACACGCCCTGCACAACTCCTCCATCAAAGCCGTGCACATGCTCTTCACCGAACCCGCCGTCTTCGCCTTCGGCATGTGGATCGGCTTCGCCTGGTTCGTGACCTTCCTCTTCCTCTCCGTCATCCCAATCACCTTCTCCGAGAAGCGCAACTGGAGCGAGGGCGTCGCCGGCCTCCCCTACATCTCGCTGTGCATCGGCACAACCCTCGGCTTCGCGCTCAACTTCCTCCAAATCCGCAAGTACAAGGCCATCGAGAACTCCGACCGCCCCGTGACCCCGGAATCGCGCCTCTACGGCGCCATGTTCGGCGCCATCTGGCTCCCCATCGGCCTCTTCATCTACTCCTTCACCCAGTACGGCTACCTGCACTGGTTCGGCCCCGTCTTCGCCCTCACCCCCATTGCCGTCGGGATCTTCTTCATCTTCGAGAGCACGTACTCGTTCACGGCGGACTGCTATGGCGAGAACTCGTCTTCCGCGATCGCGGGGCAGGGTCTGCTCCGCAATACGCTGGGTGCCGTGTCTCCGCTCTTCGCGTCGCAGTTTTTCCATAATGTGGGCAGTCAGTATGCGGGGTTGATCTTGTCGCTTGCCGGTACGGCGCTGGCGCTCGTGCCGTTTGTCTTCTTTAAGTGGGGGCCTAATGTGCGTGCGCGATCGAAGCTTGCTGAGGCGGGGAAGGGGGAGGATGAGGAGAAGAATAAGACGGGGACGACGATGTATCGGTAGATAGATTTTACTATGACATTTCATGAATCAAGAGAATTGATTTGACTGCATTATATTCTAGTATTTTTGAATGTACTCCCTTGGAGATAGATATCTAGCTCATGCAGAACTGGCATTTGCACTTGCTTGTCTCGACCACCCCGCCGTAAGACTCGACACACTACATCGATAGACAAATCATGAGCAGTGCGCGCCGGTGCTGAACGTCTTCTTTCATCACGAGGATCTAGCTGCGAGCGCCTCGAGAGGATATCTACTGATCTTACAATTTGGCATAAAGCTGGCCGGGCCGAGGTCGAAGCATCAATGCTCCATGAGGACCATATCTTCTCAACCACCTTAGTACCTGACGAGCCCCCAGCATCTACTGTACAGAATTCAAGTATAGCCACATCATCGTAATAGACGCCTATCGTTATCCCGGCCATGGTCGAAAAGATTGAAGGGTATGGTGGACACAAGAGAACACGTGACTGCGGAGCCCTGACTCCACCACAGAAAATTCTGCTGCCTTTTGCTCATAAGGCCTAATATGCAAGCCCACTTCAACAATCATCCGATATGGTGTAATGGTTAACATCGGCGTCTCTCACACGCCAGCTCGGGGTTCGATTCCCCGTGTCGGAATTCCTTTTTGCTTTTTGGGCGTGATATGGAAGAGGATATGTAGAGGCTATGCTTCACGAACGAGGCTGGTATTTTTGTGGGCGGCAGACGACTGGCCGACATTCTGACGAGTCCAGATGGCATTTCGCAAGGCAAAGTATAACGAGTAGTCCGCCTGATTCATAGATGGACCATCAAGTCTGGAGAACCTTTTCAAGAGTCCAAGACCATGATCGTCACGGATCGTTTCCATCAGGTCATAATCAGTCCAACAAGCTGGCCGTGTTCGAGATCAAGCAGATCATGGACCTTCAAGACGGTATCTCTATCAACAAGAACTCGCCCCGCACCTGTACGATTCTCTGGAAAGAACCCAACCGAAGCCGAAGCAAAGAGATGGCCCGGCCGTCTTCACCACCGTTAGGTACCCCCTGAACCAATCCTCTGCATAGCTGAATTCCTCAACTCAAAGCGCGATGCCAACGCCTTGCCCGCCAGATCCCATCGGCTATGGGCTCCTAACCCGTACCTCTACCAACGCAACCCAAGCGCCGCCTCAACTGCAGGTGGGCAATGCAGGAACACCGGATACCAACCACACATCTGCCTGGAGGCCGTACGAGATATCACGCATGCAAAAGGTACAGACGCTTTGATCGTAAAAGCCATGTCTTCCCGGCCGAACGCCCCGATTTTGACGCTAAAAGAGATTGACGGCAAGGGCAACGACATAGAGCCGTATTTTACGGTGATATAGAATCGGGATAACAAGGACATTAAGGTACGCCGCTGCATCATGGCCCCTAGGGAAGGGGCTTAAGGGCTCACAGCTGGAAGGCTACTGGGTTCCCGGGGTGAATATTATACGTTTTTTAATTAAGCATGGCGCGGAGGCTGATGCTGTTAAAAGGGCACTGGGCACGCCGCTGTAGATGGGGTTAAGGCCTCCGCGGTTCCTAAGGAGAAGAAGCGTAGGACTGTAACCGCGTGACCTCGCTGTCCATGGCTTGGCTTAGATGCATGGTCGATATAGAGGACTCGAGGGCTGCTCTAGGTAGGTAGTAGGATGTCACTCGTCCTGGCTTTCTTTTTACCCAGGCCTAGGCCCCGGCCTCCTGCCGCAGCTCCCGCAAGAAAATATGTTTATTGGTTGTGGGAAACTGACAAATGATGATGAGGCTGATTTATATTGAACTATCACGCTGATTAGGATCATCGAGAATCCAGCTGAGACTGGAGCCCTCATTCAATGAGGCACTAGAACGGACATCCCAGCCCGCAAAGGGCCAGCATAGAGTGAAGCGCTGGGGCAAGAAGACGGCTTCTTCTACGAAATTCTTGCTGCAATTCTTTCCAAAATCTGTGGTTATGACTCCTCAATCTGCAAATGCATTGAGCACGACTCAAGATCAATGAATTCAAGGACACTCTCGGCTTAGGGCTAGCACATCCTAAAAAGCCAAGTCTAAGGTATCTACGCAGCACATCAAATGGCTTGCTGATAACAGCTTTCTGTAAATAGTGAATGCTTAATAAGTGTCCATGGAGTCCAGAATTATAAGCAGACAGTAAGTAGTGCGGTTGCATCATCTGCCTGGTGAAAATAATCCGAGATGTCCTACCGTACCATTCCTTAGGTAGGTATTATATGGGGCGCCCGCGGCGGCGGGATGATGGTTTACTAGTCTTCTCTCTCCTGAAGAAAAGACATTAGTGAGATATACCCCGGCTCTTTTCCAGAATATCCAACCGAATGCTTATTCTATCCGCTGCAGTGATTAACAATCACCCCTCATGTCGCGATCGCAGCCCCGATTACGCCATTGCCAATTTGTCAGCTGTACGACACTCCCCAGGTCGGTATATAACCCTCCATCCCTATCCATCTCCAACTCAATAACAACAATCCAACACCAAAATGCCCGACAAAAAACTCCACCTAACCGCCTTCATGCGGCCCGTGAGCCTCCACACCGGCGCCTGGCGGTTCCCCAACTCCCACGCCGACGCAAACTTCAACCTGACGCACCTGAAATCCTTCATCCGAAAGCTCGAGGCCGCCAAATTCGACGCCTTCTTCATGGCCGACCACCTCGCCGTGCTGAACATGCCCGTCGAAGCCCTGAAGCGCAGCCACACCGTCACCTCCTTCGAACCCTTCACGCTGCTCTCCGCCCTCTCGCAGGTAACAGAGAAGATCGGGCTTGCGGCCACGGCCTCAACGACCTACGACGAGCCATACCACATCGCGCGCCGGTTTGCATCGCTGGATCATCTGAGCGGCGGCCGCGCAGCGTGGAATATCGTTACGACGGGGAACCCGGAGAGCTCGAGGAATTTTGGGAGGGATGAGCACCTGCAGCATAGCGAGCGGTATAAGCGGGCGCGGGAGTTCTATGATGTTGTAACGGGGTTGTGGGATAGTTTTGCGGACGACGCGTTCATCCGGGATAAGGAGAGCGGGATCTTCTTTGACCCGGATAGAATGCATGTGCTTAACCATGAGGGCGAGGATCTGAAGGTTCGGGGCCCGCTGAATATTGCAAGGCCGGTGCAGGGGTGGCCGGTTATTGTGCAGGCTGGGCAGAGTGAGCCGGGGCGGCAGCTTGCTGCGGAGACGGCGGAGGCGGTGTTTTGTTCACCGAGGGACCTGGAGGGGGCGAAGGCGCTGTATAGGGATATTAAGGGGAGGGCTGAGAGGGCGGGGAGGAAAAGGGAGCATTTGAAGATCTTGCCGGCGGCGTTTGTTCTTGTTGGGGATAGTGTTGAGGAGGCGAGGGGGAAGAGGTTGGAGCTGGATAGCCTTGTGCATTATGACAGTGCGATTGCGTCGCTGAGTATTGCGCTGGGGACGGATGCTTCCGGCTTCGATCCTGATGGGCCTCTGCCGACTGATCTTCCTGAGACGAATGCGAGTCATACGTCTCGTGCTGGGGTTGTCAAGCTGGCGGAGGATGAGAAGCTGACGGTGCGGCAGCTGGCGCAGAGGCTTGGTGGGTACTCTGGGCTGGCGTTTGTGGGGACCCCGGAGAGCATCGCGGAGGAGATGGAGACGTGGTTGAGGGAGGAGGGCGCTGATGGGTTCACGGTCGTCTTCCCCTTCTTGCCGCAGGGGCTGGACGATGCCACGCAGAGGGTTGTGCCGGAGTTACAGAGGAGGGGCATCTTCAGGGAGGATTATACAGGGACTACGTTGAGAGAGCATTTGGGACTGCCCAGGCCGGAGAATCAGTTCTTTGCTTGATTTGATGAGGATATAGGGTTCCATGTTGGGGATAGCCCTAATCCACCACAAGATGACAACAATTGGTGGTCAAACGCGCAGATAACAGTGGGTCAAATTGATGTCTACGATAACGATGACAGGAACATGATAATGAATGATAAGATACAGAATATTACTCAGATACCGATTGGACGCTGCAGTTGGAGTAAGCAATAACCGACGGAGATCCTCCGTGCGGGGATCCAACTCTCCCTTCTTTTCTCTCTGCCTCATTATAACAATGTCTGTCGCAAGCAGGACTTTGTACCAGCCCTTCCAATGCCTCATCTGCCAGAGTCGCTTTACCCGGCATGAGAACCTCAAGCGCCATGCCCTCCTCCACACCCGCTCCCACGACGAACCTCAGCTGCCCTGCAGCTTTTGCTCGGCGACGTTTTCGCGGCCGGACTTGCGAAATCGGCATATGAAGAGAAAGCACCCTGAACATGAAGTGAGGAGAGTGAAGAAAAGGACTCAGCGGGAAGGGTCGGCGAGGCAGTGGAGTGATGACAGTGGAAAGGACTCGGTGTCTCCTGCAGACAGCCATGATGGCTTGTTTCAACAAGCCGAAGACAACCAGCACTTGCAAAGCGACTGGAGAGAAGAGCAATCGCAGAGCATTTCAGACCTGCTGCAGCAGGCGATGGAAGAGCCGCGCATTGATCGGATCGGACAGGACGTGATGGACTTGCAGACGTTACTGGATGGTAGGCCATCATTCAAGCCACCTGGAAGTCGTGATGACCATGGCTCGCCTGAGTTCACGCCCTTTAATGTCGAACACGAAGACTGGACGCCGTCGCCTGTTCAGATCTCGACGGGCTGCGCTCTCTTCTTCGCCCACGTCTCGAACTTCGTCCCCTTCCTCCACAAACCGACGTTTGATGCGAACAAAGCGCCTCTTCATCTTCTACTGAGTATGCTTTCTCTCGCCTACCAATATGGCTCCGATCCAGACACAATCAGCCCGGACTCAGGGGTCCTCTCAGCCCGCTGCTTCCACCGCGCCCGCACCGTCCTCACCACCCAGTCCACCATCGATACCGATCCCATCGCAACAGTCCAATCTTACATCCTCCTCCAAATAGCCTCTATGATGTACCTTTCTTCCGAGTCCCACCATACCCTTCAACTGCATTCGACCAGCATATCACTGGCTCGATCATCAGGCCTTATGCAGCCCACCCCCATCGAACCATCAACATCCACCTCTCTCCAGACCCTCTGGCACGCCTTCGTCACCGCCGAATCCCACAAACGCACCCTCTTCGCCCTCCACCAGATCGACGCCCTCTGGTACCAGTTCCTCTCCGTACCACGGTCGGTCTCGCATCTGGAGGTTAAGCACGACCTGCCCTGTCCAGGGGAGTTGTGGGCCGCAGACTCAGCAGAACAATGGGCTCACGGACAACTAATACGGGGCCAAACACAATCGGTGCAGTACGCCGACGCCGTGCGGCAATTCCTCTCCCAAGACACCCTAGAAAATACCCCCTCATTCGACCCCTACGGCGCCATCAACATCACGCAGTTCCTCATCTCCTCGGCGCGAGAAATCTCCGGCTGGTCGACGATGACGGGGATGCTGAGCATCGACCGGTTCGGCGCGCTGCGCTCCTCCCTCGAAGCACTACACCCGTTTATCTGTCCTTCACCGTCAGCATCAATACCCCAGGATGCCCTCTGCGCCGCAACGTGGCAAACGGCAATGCTGGAACTGCAGATCTGGTCGCCCGCCCATACGTCGGGGATAATTCAGACGTCGATATCTTCGCTTCTTGAACACAGCACGAGTACGCATCTGTCCCCGTCCCCGGCAATTCTCTGCGAGGAGATCACTGCGCAGGCGATCAAACCGCATATTGGCTGGTTTTTGACGTACCTGGATACTACGGTTCAGGTTAACGGGGAGGCGCCGTGGGTTGCAGTGTATGCGTACAAGGCTTTTCTTATCGCCTGGCAGCTTGTTCGCGGGGGTGTTGAGGGGGCTATGGGGGTAGTTAATGTAAGTGATGGTGATGTACAAGGGGCTGTGGATTGGGCAAAGATGGTGTTTGGCCGACGGCGGAAGTGGGAGGTGGGAAGGTTGATCATGAGGTGCTTGGATAGGATAGGGGCTGATATGGTATAATGAATCATATAAACAGAGTTGCGATGGTATTAGTTTGTTTCAAGGCTGCTTCTGACCAAGATACATATGCCACTTCACCTCACCCTCTCACTCACAGTAATAATCCACCAAGGGAAGAGGCTAATACATCTCATACCTCCACCCCAGCCCAACCATCTCCCTCGTAACCCCATTCTTGATGACCTTCTCCACCTCGTCAGCCTTCCCTCCATCAAGCCTCCTATTCTCCCTCCGCACAACCCACCGATACACCGTGACCGTAACTGCCAACGCAACCCCCGCCCCCAAAAGCGTCCCAAACGCAGCCAGAAACCTGGGCTCATCGTAATACAGATAGCTCGCCCAGATATTCGACGTGCCGCCAATCGCATTGACCAACGCACTCGCCGCCGCCCGCTTACTCACCGGTCTAGCAAGATGCAGGTTGATCGTCTTGTACAGCAGCAACTGCGGACCAACAGATGCAAAAGGCAGTATCATCATGCTGAAGTACCGCGCCCCCACATTCAGCGTCGCCATGGGTATAATGTACATGACCACCGTGATCCCCACACAGCCCATAATAAGCGGATACACCGTGTTCTTCACGTCAGAGTAGTACATAATCCCGTAGTAAATCCCACCAGCAAGGATATAAGGCGGCGCAGTGAGGAGGAGCGAAACCGTCTCGCCAAACCCGAGCGACGAAACCAACGTGGGAAAATAATTCGCGATACTCCCCTGCACCTGCGACAGCATATTCGCCAGAATCAGCAAAAGCAGCTTCGCGTCCTTCAGCGCGTTCACGAAGCCCCGCAGCAGCGGGACATCCTCGCTCCCCTCCGCCGCCCCGGCCTCCGACTCGATCCGCCACACGGCGAGATCCCGCTCGAGCGGCGACAGAATGCGGCTGTTGTGCGGGAACTCGGGCATGACCAGGGCGCAGACCGTGCCGATTCCCACCGTCGCCGCGCCCTCGATTATGAACAGCCACTGCCACCCTGCGATCCCGTGCGCGCCGTCGAGCTGCAGGATGGCGGCCGCGAAGAGCCCGCCGAAGGCATTGCCGACCTGCTGTGCGATGTAGAGCGCTGCAATGCGCTTGCCCAGTTCGGCTTTCGTGTACCATGCAGAGAGATAGTAGATGGCGCCGGGGAAGAAGACTGCCTCTGCGGCACCTAGTACCGCACGCACGGCGAGGAGCTGCTCGTAGGTCTTTACTGCTGCAGTCGAGGCAGAGATGCACCCCCACACCACGACCGCCAGACAGATGTACATGCCCGGGCGGGGGATCTTGGTGATGAGCAGGTTCGACGGGATCTGGAAGGGCAGGTAGCCGACGAAGAGGATGGAGACGGCGGTGGCGAAGTCGGCGGTGCTCATGTGCAGGTCGTCCATGATGCCTTGGAGTTTTGCGGACGCCAGGTTCTGCCGGTCGATGTAGTTGAGGATGTAGAGGATGCCGATTGTGGGGAGGATCAGCGTGTCGATTTTGCGGACGATTTTGGTGTGGAGCGTGTTGTAGTCTTCGGCGCTGAGGGTGCGGAGGGATGGGGGCATGCGGGTGGCGGTGTCAGAGCCTGGCAGGACTTGGCCTTCGGCTGTTGAGGTGGTGTCCTCGTCTTTGAGTGAGGATTTTTCCATGGTTTGGATTAAGAGAGAGGTGCAGGTGCAGTAGTGAGTAATGGACTGAGTATGGTGAGTTATGGATGGGAGCAGGACATGGTGGACTATATGCTCGTCGTTATCAGTATACCCCCGTAAACACTATACGGTAGCCCTATCTTCCCCAGACGAAGTGGAGCAGAGATAGTCGGCGTTTGAACTGTGAGTCTAGCTACCGCGTACTCCAACTCTGCCACTATTCACAGCGCGCAGTCTAAGCCAGACAGCGTTAGGGCTGGAGGAGCTCCTCCGGTGGGGCGATAAGGTCTGCTCCTCCTCATCGCATAACAAATCATATAGACACTATATAGATAGCTATACGACTGCTGCATCGCAGTAAACCACAATTCCAATTGCATCTACCCGACAGACTAAATCCAAAATGTCCCACCCAACCCCCCTCACCACCACAATCGCCAACCCCCGCCTGCGCCTGCTCAACAAACTCCGCCGCAATGAATACCCCCTCATGACATTCATGGCCCTCCCCAGCGTGCGCATCGCCCAGATCCTCTCCCTCACCGGCCTCGACGGCATAATCATCGACTGCGAGCACGGCCACATCTCCGACGACAGCATGCACAACGCCGTCTCCGCAATCTCCGCGCTAGGCGTCTCCCCCATAATCCGCATCCGCGGAACAGCGCACGACATCATCAAGCGCGCGCTCGACACAGGCGCGCACGGGATCATGGTCCCGCAGATCAACAACGCGGATGAAGCGCGGCAGATCGTGGCGAGCTCGAAGTTCCCGCCGCAGGGGGTGCGGGGGCAGGGGTCTGCGTTTCCGGCGATTGGACATGGATTGACGACGCCGGAGTATATGCTCTCTGCGAACGAGACGATTATCACGATGATTCAGATTGAGACGAGGGAGGGGGTGGAGAACGTCGAGGAGATTTGTCAGGTTGAGGGGGTGGATATGGTGTTTGTTGGGCCGAATGATCTGGCGATGAGTCTGTTGGGGTATGTTCCTGCGAGAGGGGACGAGCCGGTGTTTGTGGATGCGGTCGAGAGGGTTGTTGCTGCGGCGAGGAGGTATGGGAAGTGGGCTGGCAGGATGGTGAATGATGGGGCTGTTGCGAGGAGTGTGAGGGGGAGGTTTGATACTGTGGCTGTTACGGGGGATACGAAGGCGATTACGAATTGGTATACGAAGGAGTTTGAGATTGCACGGTCGTAGATGGGTAGATTAGAATGTATTTTTTGGTCAATCGTCTATTGTGCAAATCTAGGTGAGTAGGGGACACATGTAAGACTCTTGACCTCCAGCTTTGCACGCAGATTGCCATGTTGGTGTTTCATGATACCTTCAAGTCGACTCTCTCAATGAGTTCCTGTTGATACATCCGGAATGTCAAAGGTTATACGACGATAAACGTCGAGGGAAATTGATAGGCGAGTAGGGATGAAGGTAGCTAGAAATTCATGGCATTCGAAGTACTTGAGAAGTTAGTTTTCTCAATAGACCTATGAGGTCGATTAATGATAAGCATTATATCTGCTATTAACGATCAAGGAGTGTAATAGTAGTGAATCCTATGAGTTTCAATAGCTCTATCTCTTTGTTCGTCCACCGGTGTCAAGCACAAACGAAACATGCATGAAACCAAGTAATCCATTCTATTTTATCTAAACCTGCGCAATACACTCAATCTCAATAACCGTGCCATCTCCAGGAGGCAGAGCCTGCAAGCACGACCGCGAGGGCATCGGCTTAGGCAGAAACTCAATGTAGACCTCGTTCATAGCCGCAAAGTCCTTCATATCGGCAAGGTAGACGTTGTATTTGACGACTTGTTCGAGCGATGAGCCGGACAGCTCGAGGACTTCTTTGAGGTTTTGGAGGACGGTGCGCTGCACATACCATATTAGCTCGAGGTCGAATGAACAATGACGATGAGGGAGAGGACGTACAGTGGCTTGCTTGATTTCGCCCGTGGCGGTTTGGCCGGCGAGGAAGACGAGGCCGGGGACTTTTGTGGCGGGGCCTGTATAAGTTAGAGGGCTGTGTGAGTGAAGAAGGAGGGCTGCATACAGTTGTGAGGCTTGGGAGGGAACTTCTCGCTGGAGATGAGTTGGCGGGACATCTTGGTGTTGATGGGTTGTCAAAGGAGTAGATGAGTTGTGTGAAAACAGTCAATGGGGAGGTTGGCATAGACTAGGCGTTAAGTCACTGTAGAGATGAGGTCTTTAAGCCAACGATTTGCTCTTCTTATCAGCATTTTGTACCTAGTTCTTATCGCGACTTTGGAGGAGCTCTGATAAAGCTGCAGGCCTGCATGCATATCGGGAGGAGCTCCTCCCACGTCTCCACAAGAGCTTCCTCCACATCAAGTATCTCACTAGATAGGCTATTGGATCGGCTATGCAGAGGAGCTCTCCATACCATCTACTTCAAGCCTTACTGCGGATAGGGGTAGCTGGAGACGGACTTAGGGCTAGCAGCCCTAGCTGTTCCCGTGTGCTGGAGAGCTCGCCATATAGATCATGAGATCCAACAGCACGATTGCGAGTATAGGTGGCCTCGGATATATAACCTCACTGACGAGCTCATCATTACCTCTCAGTCATATTCACTACGAAACCAAGCAAGTAACAACCCACACAATCGCAATGGCACCCGCAGCCCCCTTCAACCCACCCTCCCCTAACCTCCCCGGCAAGCCCTTCGTCCCCGAATGGAACCGGCCTCCCGTCACCAAGCAGACCGAGGGCTTTGCAACTCTCAAGTCAATTGACCTGTCACTGCTCGACTCTGAAGACCCCGCCGTCGTCGAGGACCTCATCCAGCAAGTCAAGGTCGCCATCCGCGACGACGGCTTCCTCTTCCTCGAGAACTATGGCATCTCACTGGAGCAACTGCACCGCCAGTTCGCGATTGCCCAATACCTCTACAACAACATCAGCGAGGAAGACAAGGAGCGCCTCCTGTTTGACCCAGACACTGGACGGTGGTCGGGGTACAAGCACCCATACGGGTTCAAGGTACATCCCATCCAAACCCCCCTAATCCACCTCGCTGGATCCCAGAAGACTAACCGCTGATATCGGAATACAGCGCCACCGCGGCCCAGCCGACGGCATCGAGCAATTCAACTTCTACAACCGCGAGTGGACCGACCCCAGCCGCATCCCCACAGCCCTGCACCCATTCATGGACGAAATCACCGCGTTCTGCACCTACCTCACGCAATCCGTAAACCGGCGCCTGCTGACCCTGTTCTCCCGCGTCCTCGAGCTCCCAGACTCCTACCTCTGGGACAACGTGCAATCCCACGGCTCCCCCACAGGCGAAGGCTACTTCCGCCACGCGCTATTCCGCCCCGTGCAGAGAGAAACACAGGAAGCGTCCAAGGGGCTGCGGATGCACGGCCACACGGACTTCGGGCTCACGACGCTCCTCTTCTCCGTACCGATCAGCTGTCTCCAGATCTGGGGCCGCGACGAGAAGTGGTATTATGTGCCGTATAGGCCGGGCGCGCTGGTGATCAACATCGGCGACACGCTGGAGATTGTGTCCGGGGGGCACTTCAAGGCCACCAGGCATCGGGTCTATCGGCCGCCTGCGGACCAGCTGAGTTCGGAGCGCCTGAGTCTGGTGCTGTTTAACAGTTCGGTTGGGGAGTTGAGGATGCAGCCTGCGCATGGTACGACCCTTGGACCCTTGATTCCCCGGAACATCCCTAGATGAGTTGCTAATGGTATGTAGAGTCGCCCCTCATCCAGCGAGAAGGCTGCGTTGAAGAACAGGGTGTGTACAAGGAGTTCAAGCGCCTCACTGAGGCCGGCCAGCTCGTGCCGAGTAATCGCGAATGGCGCGAGATCCAGATTGCGACGGCGACGGATCCCACGGATACGGTGCACAACAGGGTTGGTGTGCATCAGGTGCTCATTGATGGGAAGGTCATGCATCAGAGGGAGTACATGGGGGTCAAGGTGGTGCTGCCTGTTTAGTTTAGTTTACCTGTAACTGGCGGTTTGCAAAGTTTACAGAGTATTTATGTTACTCATGTATTCGATTCTTTGGCCCATGGCCCATTGGCAAGGTTTACTTGAGACGCGCTGCTTCTGTCTATTTATTTTATAGGTAGTTAATAGCGCTCTACCTACAACAACCGTTGCGACGCCATCTAAGGCAAAACATACCCCCCATCAATCAAAACATCACTCCCCGTCATATAACTACTCGCCTCACTCGCAAGGTACAAATAAACCCCCTTAATCTCCCTCGTATGCCCCTGCCTCCCAAGAACCGCCATCCGATAAGCCTCCTGCACCGTCTCCGGGCTCGCCCCCATCTTGGTATCAAAGAAACCAGGCGAGACAATATTGACGCGGGCGAAATCCCTCCACTCGCGCGCGAGGGACTTGCCGAAGTGCGTGACGAACGCTTTCGTCCCGTTGTAGATTGGCTGGTCGGTTGGGACGTTGACGATGTGTGCGCTCATGGAGGAGGTGATGATCAGATTGCCGGATCGTTGGGAGGAGAAGACCTCGCCTGCGTACTTTGCGCAGTAGACGATGCCGTCGACGTTTACGGAGAGCTGCTTTTTGTATTCGGGGAGGGTTTGGGCGAGGAGGGGTTTTGAGATGGCCATTCCTGTAGCCAGTTAGTGTGGATAGGGGCTTGGGAGGGTGGATGGGAAAGCTGGGGGGAGACGGACCGGCGTTCACGACGAAGACGTCGATCTTGCCGAAGTCTTTGACGACGGTCGAGATGGTTGCTTGGACGGCTTCGGGGTCGGAGACTGTAGTTATCTTAACCTCGCCTCATTCCACAATCTCTGGGGTATACCTAGGTACATAACGCACCATCGACCTTGTAAGCAACAGCCTTAACCCTATGCTCCTTCGCCAAATCCTCAGCCTTTGCAATCGCAGCCTCATTTCTATCCACCGAGTTAGCATCTCATCCCTCCAATAAACCTTACTCATCCGCCTGTCATCTCTGTAAAGGTAACGCACGAATTATACCACAGCGCAACATCCCCACCAGCCTCGGCCATAGCCTCGGCAACGGCATACCCGATCCCATCAGCAGCGCCCGTAACGACGATCGTCTTGCCGGCCATCTTGAATTGCTCGAGGACGTTGGAGGGCGTGTCGGGGAACGGGCGCGGGAAGCCGGTGCGCTCGACGGCGCAGTCGGAGTGGCTCATGGACATTTTGGGGGTATTCGCTCGGGGAATGGGTAGTTGAGAGAAGGACTATAGATTTCAGACGATAATTGGTGATGATGAGAGGTATTTATTGACTGAATGTGGGGGATGAGGGGTCGGCGGGGTGTCGTCCGCGGGGATTACGTACCAGCACAACAGCCCTGGTCTGCCTGGTCTTGGATATAAGATGTTTTCCCAAAACTAGCTTACATGACGGATAGCATACCATGCATTAACTTTGATACTTGCTCCTACTACAATGATAAGCTGTGTATGCAAGAGTAGGTTGTTTACTTCCTCAACGCCTGATTTGCCAGTTATGGAGCTTGATCATTGCTAGATTATTATTTCTACTGATATGCAGTTTCAACCAGGCCTAAGTATTTGGAACTTGATAATCTAAGATCTCTTGTCCCGCCATACTATTTTATCTTATAAACCTTAGGTAACCCCGCCGATCCCTCAAGACCCTGTCCTTAAATATCAGCTGCCTGGAAGCCCTAGCCGTCTATTGATTCTCGGGAGTACTGGCTAGGTAAGTACTATGGTAATGTACCTAGCAATTTCCACCCACCAACTAGGGATAGAACCACATCATCGAAAGCGATGCATCCTCATGAAAGTCGCGATAAACCCACAAGCCAACGAAGAAAATGCCCGTGGACAGGAGAAACGCGCCCGCTTGGATCCTGCAAGCGCGCGCCCACGTCTCCCGCGGCAGAGCCCTCCAAGCATCAAGCAGACCGCATGGATGATGTCCCCGGAGCCGCGGGTCAATAGGCACAATCGCACGCAACGGCGCCAGTGTGCTATCCTCCGTCCACTCGCCACCGGCGGCGACGGCCATGCGGACGAGAACAAGTCTCGCGGGGAGCGTCGCCATGCAAGTCAGAAAGGCCGGGACGACGGAGACAGCGTGCAGGGCAATCCCGCGCTTCACGGCGATGGCCTCGGCTGGGTCTGGACTCGTCAGGGCTTCGGCGGTTGCGCGGACCGTGAAGGCCAGCGCGGTTTGCTCCGCGAGGATGATTGGGATGTTGGTCGCGTACCGGGCGACGAGCCAGCTTGCGACGGCTTCGAGGACGGCGAGGGGGCGGGGGGCGAAGCGGACGCATGTTGTTAGGCTGGGGAGGCGTTGTCTGAGGGAATTGGCGTTGGCTGCTATGGGTTTGGTGGTGATTGTGTGGATCCAGAGGAGCTGGAGTGGTGCGAGGAGGGCTGCGGAGAGAATCGAGCTCAGGCTGTTGTTGGTTGTTGGGAGGAGAGAAGGGAGGAGGACGTCTTTTGCGTAGAGGTGGAAAAGGAAGAGTGGGAGGCCCCGGGGGGGAAGAAGGGCCCGAGGTTGGTGCGCAGGTGGGCGATGGTGGTCGGGAGGGAGTCGGTGATGCTGGACTCCGGGGCTTCAATGGCGGCTAGCTAGATTGTATTTCCAGGCAGGTGCTATTGGACTTGCCCTGTTCATGCAACTGGATGGCAACCTCCATGCTTGAGGCTCACCTTCAGACCACTCGGCTGTACCAAGCACGGTCAGGATCGAGATGGAGCCTTTCTGCCCCATCCAACCTGCATTGGGACCCTGCACATATGATTCCTAGCACCTGCCTTGTAGGGCAGCCAGCCGCGACTCCCGTGGCCCCTTGGTGGAACATACTGCCCAGACCCGCACGACGGTCTCCACGCTGATGCGAACAACTGATCAGGTAGCCGAGTTAGGGCTCGGGGCATCGAAAGTCTGAGCTGTCCGCTAAGGACTTGGGCAGGGTACATGGATGGGAATAGCTAGGTAGCAAGGCTTGCACGGAATCAACCACGATGTCTATACCTGGTTCTCGGTTGCGCACCACGTCGAGCAGTGTTGGTATGATATGAGATGCCTGGACTACCGAGAGGAAAGCTGCAAAGCTCTGTATCAACGGAAGACCGTGCTGATGCAAGTTGGGGCTCTCAAGCTTGGATGGATGAGTTCAATGCCGGCGGTTCTACCCGATCCGTACCCGGACGGCACCTAGGGCTACCTAGGTCGGGGCATGGGCACGCTTGTCGCATCTTTAACGCCAAAACTACAACTAGTAGTCTATATACCTTGGAAGGGAGGCTGGCTATGGCCCTTTACACTGCGTATCCACCCCGTAAACCCAAGGACTTGAATTTTAGCTCGTCAAATGAACTGCACCTGTCAAAACAAACCAGCCGAGGGATGCGTGATATCCGCGGTGGCATGTCAGCTGAATCTTAGACACGTTTGATAAGTTCTTATGGGCTCCAGGTCTTAGTATAGAAGGCCTCGTGATAGGCTCTACAAGACCGGGCGAATATCGGTGCTAATGGCAGGCTTCCAATCGCCATGGATTCGCCGATGCGGCCCCCTGCCGACTGCGTTAGCAATACCTACCATTGGTGGAAGTTTGCTATCTACAAGGTATCCTCTTGGTGTGTGCTTTCCCTTACTCTTGCCTATCTTTGCTCCCTAGCTATTCTACTTACCGAGGTTATGCAACTTGAGGGCAGCACTGCTTCCATGGGTTACCTGCTAGAACAAGGGGGGAACACCGAGGGGAGGAGTCGACGACGACGCCTAGTATTGAACTATCATAGCGACATCTACAGAGTAATGCTCTAGAAAACAACCCCTCCACCATCAACAACAATATCCGCCCCATTAATATACCCCCCAGCTGGACTCGCAAGCAAAACCACAACGCCCGCCAACTCCTGCGGAGCGCCCATACGCCCAAACGGATTCCGATCGGCCCATATCCGCCTATGCTCGATCAACCCATCGCCCTCATTCAGAATCGTATCCATATACCCAGGCGAGATACTGTTCGTGCGGATCCCATACCGCGCCCACTCCGCCGCAAGACTATTCTTCATCATCAGCAACCCCGTCTTCGACACATTATACGCAACCTGCGGCTGCGGGAAGTTAACTCTATGCGCGGAGATCGACGCAACGAAGGTGATCGATCCGCCTGTGCCCTGCGACACCATTCGCTTCGCGGCCGCCTGCGCGCAGATGAACGCGCCCGTTGTGTTGACGTCGAGGACTTTGCGGAACTGCGCCGGCGGCATGGTGAGGGCGTCGGCGCAGCCGACTATGCCGGCGAAGCAGAAGAGGATGTCGACGGACCCTAGGGTCCTTGCGGCCTCGGAGAATGCGGCGTCGACGCTGGTCTCGTTGGTGATATCGACTTGGGCCGTGATGATTTTCGCGGCGGGGAATTTAATTCGTAGGGAGGTTATTTCCTGCTCTGCGATGGACGGGTTCATGTCGAGGATCATGAGACCCTTGAGTCCGTGCTCGAGGAGCGCGGTGCATGCTGTCAGCCCGAGGGTTCCGGCGCCGCCGGTTATGACTGCGTTGCCGGTGATGGCGAAGCGGGATGCGGCGTCTGCGGGGGGCGTAGGGGCTGTTAGTGTGGCTGTGGTGCCGTCGCCCAGGGTCATGGATGGGACGGTGCGGCTTGTTAGGGCGGAGCGGTCGGTGGTCATTGCGATTTTATACTGAATGCTGGACTTGTGAGGATGGGAATGGACCGCGAGGGGAGCAGAGGTTAGAGCCAGACAATGGATGCTTATAGTTCCTTTGTTTTACTTCCCCGCATCTGTTGTCATACTTCGGAACTCTGCATCCGGCCGTGCACTTATCAGCATCGAAACTTCGAAAGTTGTCAGGTGGGGGTACGCCGGGCTTCTGGGGCCGATAGGTATCAGAAGGGGTTTGGTCCCGGAGTGGATCGCCCGTCCTTCACGCGAGTGTGTTACGCTGCAGTGTCGGCGGACAGATGGCCGAGCCTTGGTGTTGTACTTTGGGACCGGCCTCATACGTCATTGGCTTGATGGCACGGCTTGAACCACGGTAGATATATTGCTTCTCTAGATAACGGGCCCATTAAGATCAGGCGCAGAGGGTATAACTTGCCCTGCATTTCCAGGAACGTTACCGCACCCCATCTGTTCCAGGAAACCCATTAAGTCCCTCGAACAGATCATTCTCCCACGATGTGTCCTCGAAGAACATTTGCAATGTGGGGTCGATAGCCAGCGGTGCAGCAGCTGTATCTTCGAATTCGGCCGGGGCCTGAGCGACGTGTTCGGTTTGATTCGGGTAGACAGTATTAAAGTCTCCCAAGTGACCGTTCTGCGCTGGCTGTCCCGGCGACCGATCCCTGACTCTATCTAACACTGCAAGGCAAGGCACCGCACCGCAGCCCGATTTGTCGCACCGAGCGAGGCAAGACACCCCCTTGCCCGCTCAATGGACGACAACCACGGCTCCCGATTTACAGCGGCCAAACTGCCATCAAGCTGGGGAGGCCTCAGGTGATGGATGCTAAGCACAACACTCGCTTGGAATAGAAAGTATGTCGTGTACCAACTCAGGCCCGCGTGGACAGTGTCGGAATAATCGGGACAAAAAGTCTGAAATCTTCTGTAGAAGTCTTGTCCATGGCCTATTGCCTGTTCCCCGTTAACCTTGCTTTGCCAATACGTGATGGTCATGGCACCGAGGAATCCTGACGACCCTGGCCGTAGGCAGCGACACCACCCGTCTGGGGGGTTTCCCATGGAGGCCTCATTTTATTCAAACTCGTGCGCAGACCCAGGGCTTTCTGAGTCAAGTTTCGGTTCCAGCGGCTTAGAGGACGCCTGGTATTCAGTCTCGGGTGCGATCGTTTGCAGAGCATTTTCGATATCAACGTCGGGATTCAAGTGGCGGAGCAGCGATAGGAGACTCGTACAGCGAGTTTCTGCAGCATCCAGGTTTCTAGGTATGTCAGCGATGACGCTCGATAGTATTGTGAAAGGGCAGGCATCGGGTCAATGGCTTTCGGGACGGACGAGGCCCAAAGACACACAGTTTGTTGGTCTTCTCGCAGTACGACCCTAACATAGGCTTGTTCCTGAACACTAGTCCTGTCAGCGCAAGAAGTGTTGGTTGGTTCCGAAGGCGCTTACCTTGCTTTTCCGTTTCTGTCTCGTCAATTAGCTGCGCGTGTAAAGCCGGGACTCTCTTACCAGCATTCTGTACACTTCGTTCGTCAGCTGGCCGATCCAAACAAATGGTATATCCTTACGGCTCATAATTCAAAAACTCCAGACCTTCTGCTTACGGACTCTGGCATTTTGGTGCTGCTCAATACGAGATGTCGGAGCCGAATAGAACAATTGGCGGGAGAGGTTGCAGAAACCACGGATGGCCTCATTGGATCACATCCCGCCGATCGATTGATGCTGCTATTTACGAATATATACTATTTCAGCCCACCAGACAACAGTAGACTCTGCCCCGTCATATATCCCGTCTTCACCAACATCGTAACCACGCTGGCTGTCTCTTCAGGCGTTCCCAATCGACCCAGCGGGATATTCGATGCAATCCCTGGGATAGCAGTGGCTGAGGGAACCATGCCAGTGTCGCCAATCATCGCAGGCGCGACGTCGTTGACGCTGATATTATACTCGGCGAGGCGGGTTGAAAGATTCTTCATCATGCCGGTGAGACCACCTTTGGACGCAGCGTAGTCTGCACATTGTTAGGTACGTAAATCGGAGAGAGATCAAACGTACGACATCCATTAATCCCTCCTCCAGACGCGGCGATCGAAGACATGAAAATAATACGCCCCCATCTCTGCGACTTCATATGACCCACCACACCTTTAACCAGAACAAACGAAGCTCGCAGGTTGACGTTGAGCATGTAATCGAACTCCTCGAGGCCGATGTCCCATATATTTGGTATCCGTTTTCCATAGCCAGCGTTCGAGATCAAAATATCTGGTCGGCGGCCGTGCTGTTTGTCAATCTGCTGGAACATGGTCTCAATCTGATCGGGAGAACCGACATCGACCTGATGTGTGGTAATGCGGAGGTTATTTTCGTCGTATTGCGAGATGAGTTCTGCGACGAGCTGGTTGACGGCGTTGGAGTTGGTGGCGTAGGTGAGGGCGAGATGGACGCCATGGCTAGCCAGCTGGTGAGCGCATGCAGCGCCAATGCTAGGTTCGTTAATTCCTGAGCATCTAGTGCATGTTCACGTTCGATCTTACCCTCCCGAAGCGCCCGTGATAAGAGCCAATCGACCCCGGATTTCGTTCAGCGACATTTCGTGGTGGAGTTGGTGGAAGATCGGTATGGAGTTGCTCCGTACCATTTATGAATTAGCCTAGCATTGTGAGGGCCCGCAGTCTGTGCTGTGCCGGGGATGCAGTTCGGCTCCCCATGGGGGACTCGGAGGAGCTCCTCTTGGAGTCTTGGTGGAGTACGGTACCGTACCTACCCGGCAGCTCGAGTGCGGGGAGTTCGGACAACGTCAAGTTCGTCAACTCCGACTTCGACTGACCGTTTTTCGAGTAGACTATCCATGAATAGTTGAAAACGGATTCGCTGGAATTGCCCCAGGGGACTTTCTCGGCCAGATCTCGACCCGTCTCTGTGTCGACTGTTGCTCATTCGTTGCTGACGGGAGGTGAGTGTTGATCTGTCGGCGAAGTCCGATCGAATGGGCGAGGCACGTGCTCCAGTTCAAGCCAAGCGGAGATAAGCTTCTCGCCCTCTGCTTGGCCGCTTGAACACCAACACTCATGCACGTGCCCGTCGGAGGTTTTACCCTGGCAACTCACGATCAGATCCTCGAGGCTAACGGTCTCAAAGGAAGAAGGAGAGTGGCGAAATGCATCGCAAACCTTGAATGGAATGGCAGAGATGCCTATATAAACGAGGCTTGACGGGGAAATTCCATCGGATTCTGCAGGATGGCAGGCTCCGACTTATCTTACCTAGTCGACTGACTTTCCCTGATCCAGCAGTCGCGTGCCACTATCTTTTGGCGATTCCTTGATTCCCCTCTTTGCTTTTATCTTTCGATTTTTCCTTCTCCTCCCAAGTTGACCCGTCCCCGTTGTATCCTTACCGGCAATGGCCAAAGACGAAGAAAAAGTCGTTGTGGGCGAGGACCCTTCCTCCCCTCCGGAAGTCGCGCCCCTCGAGAACCTTGAGAAAAGTCGCTGGGAGCGCAGTTGGCCGACTATTGCGTGCGGCGCCGGTCTCTTCTCTGATGGCTACCTCAATGGTGTACGGTGCCTACCCTCTGCGCCTGTCGCTCAGCACTGACTCTTTAGGTTATCGGTTCCGTCAACACCATGCTGAGCATGATCTACGCGGATGCATATACCAAATCCTCCGCTAGCAAGAACGTCTCGTCCATCGCCTTCGCCGGCACTGTCGTCGGCATGCTGTTCTTCGGTGTCATGAGTGATCACTGGTCTAGGAAAGGTTCTCTACTGGTCTCTACTTTGGTCCTCATTCTGTTCGCTATTCTCTGCACCGCCGCATATGGCTACCACGGAAGCACCTACGGCCTCTTCGCGGCACTCGCCGCTTATCGATTCTTCTTGGGTATTGGAATCGGTGGAGAATACCCCGCGGGATCGGTTGCGGCCGCGGAGAGCAGTGGAGAACTGAAGAAGGGCCATCGCAACCGCTGGTTCATCATGTTCACCAATTTGCAGATCGACTTTGGCTTTGTTACGTCCGCTTTCACGCCGATGATATTGGTCTTGATTTTCACCGAACAACATCTTCGAGCAGCCTGGCGCGTGGCTTTGGGCCTCGGCGTCATTCCTCCGCTCAGCTTGCTGTATCTCCGACTCAAGCTCAAGGAGCCGGAGGAGTTTAACCGCGAGCGCATGCGCAAATTTCCTGTTTGGCTGATAATCAAGTAAGTTCATCGCCCGTGCTCGTGGAGCGACTAACGGGATCAGATTTTATTGGAAGCGCTTGGCTGTTGTGTCTCTTATCTGGTTTGTGTACGACTTCTCCGCGTACTCCTTCAGCACTTACTCCTCCGCTTGGCTCGCCATCATCCTTGGTGATGAATACCCGCTGTGGAAGAGCTTTGGATGGAACACGGTGATCAACTTGTTCTACATCCCCGGGTCCGTCGCCGGTGCTTTCGCCAGCGATTGGCTGGGTCCACGCAAGACTCTGGCAATTGGCGTCGGCCTCCAAGGCGTCATTGGCTTCATCATGTCCGGCTGCTACCAGTACTTGAACACACCTCAAAACGTTGCCGCATTTGTTGTTGTCTATGGGTACGTCGATACCTAACATGGCTGTCTCCCGCTAACACCAGTAGAATCTTCCTCGCCCTCGGTGAGTTCGGCCCCGGCGATAACATCGGTCTCTGCGCCGCCAAGACAAGCGCCACCTCTATTCGCGGCCAGTACTACGGCATTGCCGCAGCATTTGGTAAAATAGGCGCCTTCGTCGGCACGTACATCTTCCCCATTATCCAGGACAACGCCCCCAACGCGATCCGACGTGGCCAAGACCCGTTCTTCGTCTCCAGCTCCCTATGTATCTTTAGCGCTGCCCTTGCGATCTTCTGTCTTCCTCATATCGGCCAGGATACCATTACCGACGAGGACCGTAAATTCCGGAAGTACCTTGAAGAGCATGGGTATGATACGTCTACTATGGGGCAAACCTAGGCTCCGCAGCAACGTGAGGGAGAAGCGTAGCGAGCGTGATATAGGATATGTAGTCTCACAGACTGTCTGTCAAATTACTTGTGTTGAAACTAGCATCCCATCTCCCCTGCCTTCTCAGAAGCCCTTTGGAGTTAATGTCTACGTAAGTTAAGAAAGATAGTTATCGGATTACCGCCGATATATAAGTTGAATCGAGGGCCCCGAGTTGACCCAACAGTACTTTCGGACGCATTTCTATGAAGTCTTCTACGGGCCTCCGGGTGCTGCTTCTTACTTTGATGCCGCAGAGTCAGGTGATGTCAATTGGTGTTGGCCCGGAAAGCTTGCTCCTCCACTCCCACTTTTTTCTCAAACTCACCAGTGACACCAATCGATTGGTCTCTATTTATCCATTGGGTCTTCACTGCTGACGGTTGAAGCTCGATCGTCCTTGTATGCATATATCAAGATTGTCTATGGAAGGCACCATAGAGATTTGGGGTAACTCGTCCTTGACAACGGGGATGTCCGACACCAAGGCTCGGCGAGATAAGCAGGTGAGCCAGACACAGACCGTGCGACCAAGGGCCTCTACTGCTACTCGTCCGCTGGTTACCATCCCGCCATCGCCTATCGTTCAATTACAACCACCGAACCTTCGAGAAAGCACCTCGAGCTGGGACTTGTTGCCGCCATTTGAGAAGCTGCTCGAGGGAAGCCAGATCCTTACGACCTCGTTCTTCCAGCTCCGATTCCTGCCGAAAACACTCTTCTTCGAGCGACTCGAAAGAACCAGCGTCGGCCAACGTATTCCTCCTCCTGAGCATCTTGAGTATCTCTGCTTGCTTTACACCAAGCCCTGTCAAGCGTTATGGTGGAACATCTGCTGCAACAGACCTTTTCCTCGACAGGGCTACGGCCTTGGTGCCCGAGCAGATGTACACTCCTTCTCTGGAAGCCACGCAAGGCCTCTTTTTGATGAGCATTGCCGAGTGGGGCAAGGGCGACAAGCATCGCAACTCAATGCACATGGGGATTGCCGTGACCATGGCGGGGATCCTTCGGCTTCACCGGGAGGAAACATATCAACTACCTAGTACCCGAAACAGCTGGAACCACTGCAGAGGAATCTGTTTATGCGGAGGCCGCCCGACGTACATTCTGGATGCTGGGGAGTTACAACAGTCTTCTGTCTGGCTCCAGTTCCCCAGGTTCATTTTCCTACTGAGACATCTAAGCGCTCTTGCCCTGCAACAAAGCCGAATTTGCCTTTGGGAGCATTGCTGGGCCTCGAGCCGCCATGGCCCGAACTGTTCCGGCGCTCGCGAATCCCGACCTGGTTCACTGTCCTAGTCGCTCGTTATTCGCGACTTTACTGCAGACCCATAGCCTTTTAGGCCGTGTTGCCAGAATTGCAGGCCGTGATGACGAGCATACGTCGCAGAACTGGCAGGTTCGTCGAGACGAGTACATGGAGATATCAGCCGCCCTCAATGAGTTCGAAGCGAACATTCCACCACTTCACCGCTGGTCAACTTTGAATCTTCGAGGGTTCAAAGCAGAGGGACTCGAGCTCGCATATTTTTTCGCTGTGATCTATGTTTGTCATATTGTTGTGGAGATACCTGCATGACCAAAACCAAAGCAATATGGTTTTATGTTCAGGCGAGCAGGGCACAATTACTACGGCTGAGCTCTTCCGGAACATGCTCGTCCTCGATGAAAAAATTGACGCCTTTTTCGACTTTGGCTCCCCAGACCAGGGACTCCCAGAATTGATTGCTTTCTGCATTTACGTTTGTGGCTCTCTGGCAAACCACCTACACTAGGAGCCACATATCTGTCCTAGCGTTGCTCCGCGAGCTGAAGAGTCCTCAAAAAGTCGCTCGCCGGTCTTGGACACCTGCAAGACACCTGGCCGCTTGCTCGCAAATGGAATACGTCACTGTGCAGAGCTACAGCAGTGGCTAGATCTCCAATCCGTCGCGATACAGATGCCATACAAATTAGAAAAACAACCTTCACAACTTGGTGGATGCAGGTGCACTACTGAATTACACCTCTCGTGGCGTTGCCGTCAGACTTAACAATCCATTTCCGTCGGACATTATGCTGCTCGAGTTCGAGACCTATCCGTGGAATTATGTATTCACAGGCATGATTGGTGACCCTCTGGACTACTATAGTCGTACTCACGTCATCCTACCATCCTTTTCTCAACCTCCCAACCGCATCCTCTTCTGCCACGACATCCGCATACTTTGCATCAAGGTCGAACAAATTTGCGTTTTGGATCTCTTGTGTCCGGTCCCCACAGGCAGACGCCACGACCTGCCTGGCATGTTAGCCAGCACGTTCGCTGTGTATACCCCCTTTTGCATCGCCCACTCACCATGGGCCTGAATCCATGCTGCATCGAATCGAGCGTTGTCGCTCTTACACACCCAGACGTACTAACCCCGCAAATAACAAGCGTGTCAATGTCAAGAGCCTGGAATCTTATCGTGTTAGTGACATCTGTCAAAAGACAACCACTGTCTAAAAGCACGAACCTTCAACTTCGTATCTAACCCCGTCCCAAAGAATGCGCTTGCAAACTTCTTAACCACAACCACGTCACTAGCATCCGGTTCCAGTCCATCCAATAAGCCAGCCAAGCTCCTCTCATCACCCCTCTTCCAAACATCCAGAACCTTAGCCTTGTTCCAAAACAGCCCTGCGTCAGCCATATCAGGCTCTGTGTATTCCACCCGGCTCCAGATTACGGGCACATTGCCCTCTCTAGCAGCGAATACCAGGCGGCGCATTGAGTCGGGAGCTGAGGCCGCGGCAGGATTATCGAGGAGTGAAAGGGGAGAAACGTTGGAGGGCACGAAGTAGGCTTTGCAAACGTCGATAAGGAGGAGAGCTGGGCGAGTGCCCCAGCCCATGCGGTTTGAGAAGCCTGATGAGGCATAAGATGAGCTTGAGACATGCTCGATAGACATGGTTGATGGAGGTTGTCAGTATGATACGGGCGAAGTGTTGGGATTCAGGATTTTGACACGGAACGCACTGAGCGAGAGGCGTTATTCCTTATTTCGATCATAACGTTATCGTACCTCAACTCGAGTAGTTGGGGTAAATCGATATCTGATGGTTCCGATAAGGATCGCCTTGCCTTCCGGTCCGGCATGGTCTCCAATCTCCAACTCTAGCTCACAATCTGGGGCAACTTGGAGACCAGAGCATCTTTCACGGCTATGGGCCAGGACAGTATCGCTGCCATCAGCCTTTATCCAAGGAGCACCGACGCAAGCAACAGGAAGCAAGCTAAGCATGAAAGCGTCCTTGCTGTCTCCTTCGATCTCCGTACGTTTGCAGCTCCTCGTTGTTCCTGTTATCGACAATACGGCCTGTGTCTCCGGGGGTTGGGCGCAGAACCGCCATGCGCCGTGGCTCACGCCCGCCAGGATGGAGTGGTACAGACGGATGTATCTGCCGAATGAGTCTGACGCCCTGAAGTGGGATGCGTCGCCGAATCTCGCCCCGGGGGGGCTTTTGGCTCAAAGTCCGAGGACTTTTATCGCGGTTGCGGGGCAGGATTTGCTTAGGCCTGAGGCGGAGGGGTATGCCAGGCTTTTAGAGGCCACGTGGAGAGAGAATGGCGTTAAGGGGAGGAAGGTCAAGGTTAAGGTTTATGATGGGACAACGCATTCGATTCTCGCTATGAGTGGTATGTCCCTGTCGTGGTACATGAGCTACAGCTAACGAGCGTAGGTGTTTTAAGTCAGGGAAAGGCGCTGCTGAGGACTGTGCCGAAGAGGTGGCGAAGGCATTTACGCGGTCTTAGTATCAGACAACTTCAGTTTCGAATATCTATGGACCTTACAAACCCAGTAACTCCATTGCCTCCTCCCTAACGACCATCCTACACCCAAACGCATCGGGAACACCACTCAGCCCGTCCGAGAATCCCACAGTTGGCCTTAATTCCTTCCCTTCTTCATCGACCGGACACTTCAACTCCATCGTGGCCAACAACGTCGCAATACAAATCCACACCCCGGCCATTGCAAGATGCTGGCCTGGGCACACGCGCCTCCCAAACCCAAACGGACCTTCGGGGTGTGGCTCGCCCCTGCCTCCTTCCGAGACTGGGATGTATCGGTCTGGATTGAACTCTTCAGGTGAGGAATAATACCGTTCGTCTCGGGACATTGCGTACGCATTCGCAAAGACCGTTGCTCCTGCAGGGATATAGTATCCCTTGTACTCATCGGCATTAGTTGAGGCGTGCGGAACGCCCAACGGGGAGAGGGGCGCCCAGCGGGTTGTCTCGAGGAGGATATATTCAAGGTACGGCGTCTTCGGCCGATCTTCAAAATCAGGGAGGCGAGGTATATGTCCATTATCGTCGAGACCAATCACACCCTCGAGTTCAGCGCGCGCCTTGGCCTGGATTTCAGGATGGAGCATTAGGTTCAGGATACAGACGATGATGGTTGACCACGTGGTGTTCCCGCCTGCAATGGAAATTGCACCAGCAGCGTGTCAGCCAATGGTGGAGATCGCTTAGTTCAATAAGGAAGCGCTGCAGCGCTTTAACAGCGCTTAGGCGCCTTAGGCAGTCTTAATTAAAATACTGCAATGCTTACCACTAAATTACTTGCTTGTATAACTATAATATTTATAGTTCTTTAAATATTATAAAGTGTTAGTAAAAGTATTTAAAATTCTTACTATTTTTAAAAGTTTAAATTATTTATATAAACCCTAGTTAGCTTTAGCTTTTAAATATTATTATATTTTTTATTTAATTTTTTAGTATTTATTTAATTAATAGCTTTTTTTTATATAATATTTAAAGGGTTTTATAGTTATAAGCCCGGAAAATTACTTAATAATCTAGTTTATTAAATTTTTACTTATTTTTTTTTAAACTTTTTAAAGCTATTTATATCCCCTAAGTACCAGCCCTTTTATTATATAAAGGCCTTTTATAATTAATTATTTTTCATATTTAAAAAGTTAAATATTAATTAAAACTTAACTTTTATACTTAATTTAAAAGTTATTATAAGCTTTATTACTAGTACCTTAAATATAATAATTTTTTTTAAAATTTAAAAAAAACTAGCTAGTGTGGTATAGCTATATTTTATATATTATAATTATTATAAAAATTTAAAAGTATTTTAATTTAAAAGTAACTTATTAAACTTTTTTTTAAGCTTTTTTAACTCCCTGGAAATAATACTAATAAAAAAGTATTTAAAATATTTAATTAAAAATAAAACCATGCTAAGCATGTTTTTTAAAAAATTTAAAATATTAATAATATTATATAAAAGTTAATTATGTTTTTTATTTGATAACTTATTAAAAATAAGCTTATTATAAAGGTTTTTATTAAATTAAAGTAGTAACTTATTTTTATTAATTTTAAAATTAAACTTAAGGCCTTTAACAGCTATATTACTATTTTTATTATATTAATTTAATAAAAAAAAGTTATCTAGTGGCTTTAAAATTATAAGCATGCTTATTAAAAAATTTTATACCTTAAGTAACCTAAGGCTAATAATAAAATAGTTAATATAATATTTTTAAAGGCTATTAATAAATACTTAATAGCTTATATAAAGCGCCATGTAAATTAATTAAATTATAAAAAACCTAGTAAAATTAATTATTTTACTTTTATTTTTAAGTTTTAATAATATTTTTTTATTACTAATAACTTTACTAAAACCTTTGCAGGAAAAATAGCCTTTATTATACTTATTAAAAAATTAAATTAGCCCTTTACTAGTAATTTAAATATTAAAGGTTTTTTTATTAATAAACCTTTTTAAGTATTAGTTAATAATAAATTAATTTATTTTTATAAATACAAGCATGTTATAAAGTTTTACTATAATTTTATATATTTACACTATTTAAAGTTTTATAAAATAAATAAAAAACTAAAAAAAAGATTAGTAAAGTACTTAAAAAAAATAATAAATATAATAAAAAGCTTTAAAAGTTAAAGGTTAAGAATACCAAGCTTTTTAAAAATAAAAAAAAAATATTAAAAATTAAAAAGCTTAGTAAAATAGCTAAAAAAACGCGTAATTTATAATTCTTAAAAAATATTATAAAGCAGCCCTAGTATTTAATATTTTAAGTAATTTAAAATTTTAAAATACCTTTATTTTTAATACCAGTGCCTTTATTTATATTTATAATAATTTTAATTATTTTACCTTTTTAAATTACTTTTAAGGTAATAATATTTAAGCTAAAAATATAACTATAGCTATATAAGGTTATAAATTAGTTTTTATTTATTTAAAAGTATTTAATAAAGGGATTATATTATTTATATTATATAAAATTATATATACTTTTAAATTTTACCTTAATATTATAATAATAAGGCCTTTTTAAAAAGCTAAATATACCTAGGATTTTAACACCCTTATACTTAAAAATAATAAACTAGTTTTTTATTTTAAAAATTATTTTTTAGGCCTTTAAATAGTAAAACTAAAAAAAGTTTTTTAAAGTTAAAAAAGGCCAACACTTTAACTTAATAAAAAGTTAAAACTTTAATTTAAAAAGTATAGCTTTAAAAAAATTTTAAAGCTTTTTACTAGTGCCTAAAATATATTAGTAATAAAATATTTAAGTATTTTTTTATAATAATATAAAAAATTAATATTTTTAATTTTTAACTACTTAAGTACTATAATACTTACTAGGTTAATTAAGCTTTTTAATAAATATTTAAATAGCTTAAAAAATTAGTTACTAAGCTATTTATTTATATTTATACTAATCTTATTTTTATAAAGCTAGTAATAAATAGGGATTAATAAATAATTTATTTTTATAATAAGTACTTTAAAATATACTAGGCCTATACTTACTAGCTTAAAAATAATTATAAAAATATTATTAAGTAATTTATATAATTTATATAAAACTATTATAAAGTTACTTTTAAGTTCCTATTTAATAATAATAAACCTATTTTTAGTAATAATACTTTTAACTTTATTACCTTTAAAGGTATTTTTTAAAACTAGTTTACTTTATATTTTTTATTTTAAAATAGTATAGCTAAGCGCTCCGGAGGTATTTTAATTTAAAAAGTTAAAATAATAACTTTATATAAAAATATTTTATTTAATATATAACCCTAGGTTATAAAAGCAGTAGCTTATATTAATAATTAAATTTTTATTAAAGTTATTAATTAAATAACTTTATAAAAAAGACTTACTAGCAAAAAGCCTTATATTTTAGGTATTTAAATTATTAGGTATTTTTCCTAGGCAAGAAAATCCTAGAAAAAAGGCCTTTATAAAATAAAGCTAAGGGCCTTACTTAAATATTTTATAGGCTATTAAGTCTTAAATATTTAGTAAATTTAGTTTTTTTAAAATTAGTATATTAAAACTTATAAAAATATTATTTTTAATAAATCCTAGCTTTATAATTTATAAGAACTATTTTTTATTATTAATATTTAAATTAATTTTTTTAAATTATTAATTAAGGTTTTTAAACCGCCCTCTTGCCATTATATTACTAAAAATATGAACTTAAATTTAAACTTTACTAAATTTTTTTTTAAAAAAAAATAAGGGTATTTTAATAACAAGCAAGCCAAGGGTGGTAAAGATATTTAAAAATAAAAGTATTAAAAAAAATAAAAATAAAAAAAAATTTAAATATAAGGTTAYACCTAGGCCTAATTTTAGTAAAATTAAGGCCTTTAATTTATTAAAGGGTTTATTACCTTTTCCTACTTTAAACCCTACTTTAAAACCTTATTATTATGAAAATTTTATATAAAAATTAATATTAATTAGTTTTTTTAATAAGCTATTATAGCCTTTATAATAGGTTACATGCTTTTAAATTTAAAAAAATTTATTTTTAAACCTAGCTAATTAATAATTATTATAAAAAGTAAAGTAAGCCCGCTTCTAAACTTTTATTTATTTTATTACTAAAAATATAAAAAAAGGTAAAAAACTAAAAATTAAACTTATTATTTTTTTAAATAGTTAGCTAAATAAAAATTAACACCTTAAAATAATTAAAAAAACTTTAAATTTTATTTAGGTGTTTTAATAAGCTACGCAAGCTATACTATTATTATAATTACTTTTAATTTTACTTTTTATAACTATATATAATTTGCCTTTTCCGCCCTTTATTAAAACCCTAAAAAAATACTTTTATTAAAATAAACTACTGCCTCCTCCCAAGTACTAAAAGAATTTTAAAAATTATTTACTTAAAAATATATTTTTTAAAGCTATTAACCTTAAATTAAATAAACTTAAAAAAATAGGAGCATGGGAGGTAGTTAATAAATAAAAAATAAGTTTAAATAAGTTAATTTTCTTATTATAAGTATTTATATATAAGTTTAATATAAATAGCTACTTTTTTAAGGCTAAAGCTTAAATTTATATATATAAAAATTTTAAACTAGTTAATTATAAAAATAATTAAGTAGTTATAATTTTTACCTATTTTTTTTAAGTTATTATAGTACTTATTACCTTTTTTAATATAAATATAAGGTAATATAATATTATTAATATTTTTTTTAATACAGGCCTTAATAAGCTTATATACCTTTAATTTTTAAATAGCTATAAATAAAAAAAAAGCTTTTAAAAGCTTTTAAAGCTATTTATAGCCTTAAAAAGTTTTTTTTATTTTTAGTAACTTAATTTAGCTATTATTTTATATAAATTTAGCTTTATTATAGTGCCTAAAAAAATACCTTTTTACTAGTAAGTTAATAATTTTTTTAGTATATATAAATAATTTTATTTTTATAAATTTTTTGTCAGGGCCAACATTTTTCTGTTTGATGTTACCAGAGCTGATTTACTGTTGGTCCGGAGTTAGTGCCTAAGCTTTGGCCTTAGGCCGCCAAGGCTTGGTATACCTTATTATTATATTAGGCTATATAACTTAACTAGGTTATTAATATTTAAGATTTTAGCTATTAATTAGGCAAGGCTAGGGTAGGCCCTAAATATAGGTTAAAGTAAAAACTTGTGTGTAAAGTATTTAAACTTATATTTACTTTTTAGTTAAAAATAGCTTAAGCGTAGCTTAAAGGTTTATAAAAATAGCCTTAAGGCTAGTTTTTTTTTTAGATTTTTAAGTAACTTTTTTAGTATTATTTAATAAAATTTAAAATACTTTATTTTTATTAGTTAAATTCCTTTGTTAATATTTTTATTATTAATAAAGATTTTTAAAACTTATTAATTTTATAGTTAGAGTTACTTGCACCTATTACTTTTTAAACTTTTTTAATAATAATATCTTAAACTAGATTTTTAAAGGGTAAGTAAAAATAATTTATAAGTGTTTTAGTTAAGGTTCCGGAAACTTAAACTTAAATAACTAAAAAAGTGTCCCCTTTTTTATTTATACTTAAAAATTTTATTACTATT